TGTTGTTTTCTTAGAATTGCTTCCTGCTGTTTTGGGGGGTGACGGTATCTCTGTTGGGTATTGTGAGAGAGCTCAGATAGTTGAATCTCAGTTAGACTAACTGTAGATTCCGCAGCAAGTCTCAGAGTAATGGGTAAGATTGTCTGAAATTCTGGCAAGAAGTGTAGTATGATGATGATTACCATGGCATCATTCTGGATTGGGTAGAGTTGTTGTTGTTGGGGCCCCATCTTCCTTCTGGAGACTTCAGAGATTGCTATTGGAAAAACTTATTTTTTATGATAATGGAAAGTTTGGATTTAAAGATGACATGACATGTAAGAAAGGATTCCGAGAAATCAAGAGTAAGCATAGAGAGAATTAGAATCTTGAAGACAATGGTCCCTTTTTATTGGTTTGTGCAGTTGAGATTGTAACTGCAGTGGAGAAGCCTATCATCCATGCCCAGTGTGTGCCTGTGGTAGAACACTGTACCCAGTGTGTGCTGTGGTAGAACACTGTACCCAGTGTCTGCCTGTGGCAGAAGACTGTCCCAGTGTGTGCACTGTACCCAGTGTGTGCCTGTGGTAGAACACTGTACCCAGTGTGTGCTGTGGTAGAGCATTGTCCCTGGTGTCTGCCTGTGGTAGAGTGCTCCTTGTCTGTCCATCTTGAGTTCTGGTCTTTGTTCCTATTTCTGGTCTCCAAATGACCTTCCCTCTCGTGGTCATATTGCTTTCCCTAGGAGTTAATGGTCACAATATGGTCTCTTTACTGGCCTTCTGAAATGCTATTTTGGGAAAGTTGAAGATTTATATAAAGTCAGTTAGTAGTAGGTGGGATACGATGTTTGTTAGACCTGGTGACCTTATTCTCAAATGAAGCAGGAAAACAAGCCAGGAAAAGAATCTACTAGAACATTATATGAAATGACTTTTCTTGGTAAAATGTTAAAAAGTCATTGGATTCCCATTTAAAATTATCTCTGTTACAGATTTTTTCTGCTAAGGTCCTAGGTTTTATGTAATACATTGGCACATAGTGTGAGACTAAGCAAAGATTAGTAAGATCTGACCCCAAAGCCCTTAGAAGCGAAACAGAAGTTAGTCTTCCAACCCAGTGTGACCCAGAAAGCAGACCGTACTGTGTTAGTTTTAGTTTTAGACTGTGGAGACTGTCAGAAGAATGAAGTCCACAGTGATGGCTCTAGGTTCTAGAGGGACACTTGACTGTCCACCTGTGTTTAGTACTTTCTTATTTCCTGAATTTTAACTTACATGACTTTTGGTAGATCTGGCCTCTTTTGTTTCATATAGCTATGCAGGGACATTAGCTGGGCAGAGACGATCACCCACATTTTACAGATAAGGAAGCCAAGCCATAAAGAAATAGAGGGACTTGTGCAAGGTTGTATGGCTAGTGTTAATTATCAGACCATCCAATTCATAAAAGCAAAGAAGACTATGTAATGACCATGACCTCAGGCTTTTGCTGACTCATCTGTCACCCGCCAGATATATTAATGCTTCTTGACTTGCAGTAGGGTTGTGTTCCAATAAACCCATCACTAAGTTGAAATATATTAAGACAAAAATGTCTGTAGTACTCCTAGGCTATCACATATAGCCAAGCAAGAGAATATGTGTGGTGTATGGGCCATTCACTCTCATGATCAGATGGTTGACCACGAGCTACAGCTTATAGTTGCTGCCCAGCATCAGGCAGAATATTGTACTGCCTGGTAATAGTGTGGAGAAGATAAAATTCCAAAGTCTCAGTGTAGTTTCCACTGAGTGCATATCCGTTCACACCTCAGTAGAGTCAACAAATCGAAAGTTAAACCATTGTAAGTTGGTGACCACCTATATTCTACCTTGTCTTGACGCTGTTTTATGAATAATTAATTATACATAATAGTTATAATTATTCATGCTGCTGTTCAAAGGGTGGGATGATGAAACTTACTGCACACCTGATTCAGATCCTAATCCTGTAGACAGGTGACTGGTAGATGAGTGACGGTGTCAGTGGGTGGGTGGAGAGATCATCTGGTAGATAGAGCAGTCGGTGGATGGAGGTAGGGGTTGGTGGGTGGATAGAAAGCTCTGTAGGGGCTGGAGGAGTGGGTAGGGATGGGAATGGACAGGGGATGGATGGATAGAGGGATGGATCAATAAAGGTGAGTGGAGGAAGGGAGGGAAGGATGGATTGTGGTTGGATAGAGGGATGGGGGAATGGGTGCTTGGGTAGATGCTAGCCAGATAGGATATTGTTGTGCGTTTTAAGTAAGCATGAGGATGGGCTGTCATACATAACAGCTTTTCGAGAGATTTTAAATGTTGGAGTTATTAACATTTTTTCCTGTTTTCCTAAGACTTTTAAAAATTCATAGTGGAAATAAACACCAGGTCTTTATTTCTTGTGATTACAGTAATACCAGTAAACCAGGATTTGCCTGAATCCAGTCATGTTTGAACCATGCCTTAATGTGAAAGGCATGGCTTGCTGTTATGACTGGGATCAGGGATTATGACCCTGGATGCTCCCTTAGTGCTTGTGCCTATGGGTGTAAAAAGCTCTCTACACTTTATCTTTGTCTGTGAAATGAGGACCAAACTTGATTGTGTAACACTGTTGTGAGAACTCAGTACTTGGTCCCTGGTCCAATGATGATATTTAAAATGCTAATTTTATGATGACTGGGCCTTCACTGAAAACAAACTACTAATTCCTGCTCGCAGGACAGCACTGGGGTTTCTAGGCATTTATTTGTTAGCTTTTTAAAAATTTAATTGAAATGACTTGTATATTTGGATTTACTGTATGTCAAGTGTGACCCATGGTCTTTTGTGTCAACAGCTTTCTGGTTACTTCATTTATAAAACGTGAAAGATTTTTGTCCGAAGACCTTTAAGCTCATTATACTGTCTGTAGCACTTTTGTGGTTTGGGTAAATATCACCTTTAAGAGTAAAAGAGACATAAAAAGTTTAATTACTTATTCATGACGGTCATCTAGTCAGTAAACCTCCAATTTTTTTTCTTTCAGCAAAAGATACTCATAGAGTCCCTAGACCATCCGTCAGCAGTCAGCACTTGGCCGTTCTTGCCCGTGTCCTGCCTCTTCTGTTTTTCTTCCTGTTGCTAGTGAAACTGTCCTGGCTGGACTGGCTTACCCTTGTCTCGGATTCTGCACTCTGTGTCGCAGCTTTGGGGCGGGTCCTCCCCCTTCGGGCTTGGCTCCCTGCCCTTCCCCACCGTCTGTGCATCCTGACCCCAGCTCTCACAGCATGCATTGTACCTCCCCCACCCAGGCCCAAGCTTGCCTCTTTACTGCGTTTTCTTTCTCTTTCTAAAAGTGAAAAAAAAAAAAAGTCTTTTATGTTATTTATTATATGTATGTGCGTGTGCTGTGGATACCTGTGCACATGTTCATAGAGGCCACAGGAGGATATTGTGTGTCCTGCTCTATCCCTCTCCCCTTGTTCCTAAGATACAGGGTCTTTTGCTGAAGCTGGAGCTAAGCTGATGGCCAGCAAGCTCTGTGATCCTCCTGTCTCCCACCCCAATGCCTGACTTTTTATTTGGGTGCTGGGATCTGAACTCAGATCCTTACAATTGTATAACAAGTGCTCTTACCCATTGAGCCACTTGTCCAGCCCACTTACACAGCCTTTTCTTCACCTAGTTAGAACTTTCTCCCTAGTTCTCTGTTCTCTCCTCTTCCATGACTTTGTGAATTCCAGCAGCTATGCTCTTGGTCCTGTGGTTTTGCTTCCTAGCCTGCATGGCCCATCTTTGTGGTTGCCTGGTTTCTGACCAGTGTCTTTTTAGCAGTGTCCTAATCTCCCAGTGTCAGGGTGTGTACAGCTCACCGTCTGTGTCCTCCTCTGATGCATGTTACTTACTGTCCGAGGTATGTGATTTAAAATGTCTCTGATTATCATTCACAGATGAGGGGACTGAGGACTAGAATGGTGAATGGATTTGTCTTTACCCCTTTGCGGTACTTTGTTAATTGTGGACATTCAGTAAATTCAGGTTATGTGGACAAGATGAGAGAGACAGAGAATGATAGTTTTTCTAGGGAAAGAAAGCTTAGTTCTGCCTTTTAGTTTCAAAACTCATTCCTTACTTCCCTCCTTCATGTTTCCTTTTGCTTATACTTCATTCTCTTTCTCCTGTTTTCCCATGTCTAGATTCCATTGCACACATTTTTACAAAGTTAATTATGTCTTTGGGGAGGGGGCATATGTGTGCAGGTGCCTGTGGAGGCCAGAAGAATGCATTGGATCCCTGGAGCTGGAGTCCGAGGCATTGTGAGCCACTCGATGTGGGTTCTGGGAACCACACTGGGTCCTGTCAAGAACAGCGTGCACTGCTAAGCAAGTACCCACTTTCCAGTCCCATTGCTCACCACCTTTGTGTGGATTGAGGGGCGTGCAGCTGGGACCCAGTGCTGCCCCCAGAAACCCTTTCCTCTCCGTTTCCCAGCAGTTTTGTCTTGCCCTGGTCTCTGAAGCCCCCCTGCTAGACAGCTGTGCCACGCAGATCCAATCATGCTGCATCCCAGAAACTGAAGTTAAGAGATAAAGATGCTGGAAATGCAGCTTCTCCATATGATCTATTTAAAGCTTGGAAATTTATGAAAATGCAGTAGACCTACAAACTAGGTTGTCAAGGGATCAGCTGCATTTCACTGAGACCACTTGAAGGTGGAAGGATGATAGTAAAACCTGAGTATGTTAAAAATATGCAGTGATAGCTGGGCAGTGGTGGCACATGGCTTTAATCCCAGCACTCAGGAGGCAGAGGCAGGTGGATCTCTGAGTTCAAGGTCAACCTGGTCTACAGAGTGAGTTCTAGGACAGCCAGGGCAACACAGAGAAACCCTGTCTAGAAACAAACAAACAAAAAGATATGCTGTGATGAAGTGGCTGGTGAACCAAAGGGAGCCAAAAAAATCTGCACAAGATGACAGTAGGGCTTCAATGTGCCTGGGATGTCCTTAACAGTCATCACATGTGTCCATAGCCGTGGTCGATCTGCTTCAGGAGCTGACAGACATAGACACCCTCCACGAGAGTGAAGAAGGGGCAGAAGTCCTCATCGACGCTCTGGTAAGTGGCTCATACCTCTGGGGTTCTTGGGATTGTGAAGGTGTTGGCCTTAATCTTGCCACTGTGCACAAGTGGTATCCATAGAATTCTGGGTTTTGGCTGGATGGAGCGAGTAGAAATGCAGCTGGTGGGGTGCTTTCTCCAGTGGGACTGAGGGGAGAGCCTGGAGAAGCTCTGCGTCTCTTAACTAAGTGCTTTAGGCAGACTTCTCTCGTTCCCTTAGCCCTGCTTAGCCCTTACCACATCCTCTTGGAATCCGAGGCACAGGAGAGGTGGAGCAGCATCTCTGTGGTCAGAGCTGGAATCTTAGCCTCTGCTTTCTGATTCTGTGTCCTGCCCTCTCTCACTGGGTTGCTGCTAATCTTTTGACAAAGAGATCTCACAGATGTTTGCTTTCTGTCTTGAGCTTTATAATTGCAGCAAAGATGCATAGTGTTCCTTATTTTACACAATTATCAGAGAGACTGGAGAAAGCACAAGAGCAAACCTGAGATCTCTTGTAGATAAGAACCACATCTGTGCCCATGTCTAGTTTAGTGTGTTTGTTTGTGATAAGGGTCTCACTATGTGGCCCTGGCTAGTCTGGAACTTGATATGTAGACTAGGCTCGCCTCAAACTCTCAGAGATCTGAGCTCACAGATCCCTGTCTGTCTTTGCTTCCTTTGTGTTTGAATTAAAGGTTTGCATCACCATGTGTGTGAGGCCAAGGCAAAGCCTCAGACTCCACTCACTTCCTCAGCCGTTATCCAAGCAGTGCCAGAGCAAGCCTGTCCACCAGGTCCCAGCTTGACACAGGAGGAAGCCCAGAGACATGTGGACTCCTCCTGCTGGGCCTCTCAGCCAGGCCTCTGTCCACTGAAACAAAAGCCTGTCTGTTCTCATCCTTACCCGTGATCAGGGAGGGCTCCAGGCTGAAAAGGCACCATAGCTAGCCAGTGGTGGAAGTGGATCTGGTCTAGCCTCTTACCCTGATGGGAGCTCCATCCACTCACTCCTTGGGACTCTGGTCCTCCCCTTTCTTCTTCTTTTCTCTCCTGTCTCTTCTCTCTCATGAGACTGGTGGCAAGTGCTGCGTTCTTATTTCCTAGAAACCACTGCAGCTACTCACGGTAGGTGTACACAGGTGCAGTTAAGCAGCCTTCTAGCCCCACCCACAGCCTGTGGACTCATGGTAGCTGGCCTGGGAAGCCTGGTGCTTAGGAGAGCCTTCTGCAGCACAGCCTACCCCTTCTCTTAGTATTCTCAACACCAGATCTTCCCCGCATCAAGCACACTGCTGATGTGGTAAGTGGAGGGGTTGTGAACCCACTGGAGCACTGGAGATGAAGGACTGTCTCGGAGCTCGGCTGGAGTCCAGCAGGGCCCCCCTATACAACTAACATGGAAATTTCTATGGCTGTTTTCCTTTCAAGCTCCTTCCTAGAGTGAGCTCCCACTTTGGTGGGCTTTGGGACCTTTATTTTGCCTTGGAACCACAATACAGAAAGGGAAGAAGGATTCTTCTGGGGTGGCCTTTTGTTTTGAGGAGCATCTGTAGGAAGGCTGTGGCACTTCCCTCCCGCACTGTGTCTCCACAGTGTCATTTGTGCAGTCTTACCTTCCAGAGGTTAATTGCAGTGGCCCCGTGTGCGCCTTCCTGCCTAGTCCCTGGGCCGGTTTTAATTACCGTCCTTTGCCTGTGTGAATGGAGAGGATGGGAGAGGAGCAGCTAGCCAGGCGGCGGCTGTGAACCTACACCGAAGCAGCAGTTCGCACAAAAGCCCCTTTGTGTCTCCGTGCTGCCAAGCCCACCAGCAAAGGCTGCGTCTCCAAGATTTGATTGTCTGTCTGGAAGGAGACAGTTCGTCCTCAGGCTTGGGAGCCATTAGGTAGCTGCTGTGCAGGATTTCCTGTTTGTGTAGGGTTTTTATGATGATATTATTTTAAGATTTTTGACTCTTACAGCTTTATCCTGGTGGAGCTTTTGTGAATCGCAAACACTGAGCATTCTGGAGTCCAATACATTATTTGCTTGTCTGCTACCACTCAGAAGCCGTCAGTAAATATCAGTGAGCAGAGCTGGCCAGTGGGCTTCCATTTGTCTCGCCCTTGTGCCACATTGAGGAAGAAGTTTGATAAGTATTCTCATATTACAAGCGTTGAGTTGTCTTCATAGTTTTAATTTGGGGCCAGTATTAGAAGCCTGGAATCACTGGAGCAGGGGCCAGAGGGCACGTGGCAGGATTTATTGTGGCGTGCAGTTTGCAGTTATTGCCTTGGTCTTTCTCCCAGTTGGAAGTCCCCAGCAATAGAGTAGCACATTTGTGAGCAAAGTGCTGTCCTGGCATGGTTGGGAATCTTTGGGGTTTTAAATTTCGGATCACATTCGTTGCTGTTCTGTATACACAAAGGGAGTATTTGTGCTTTGGAACAAATCAATTTAGGAGCCTGGAAGATGGACTTCTCTGGAGATCATAGATGTGAGGTTTATTGCATTGGTGAGAACTCCCTGGCTCAGCCCTCCACAGACATGTGTTTCCTGAGTGTAGTGACCAGACAGTGATGGCCTGCAGTGAGTGCCTCCCTGGGCTTTCTGGGACCCTTCACATCATCCCATCAAGCCTCCTCCAGCCTCAGCTCTTCTCTTCGGAGCCTTTCCATCTCATCTCCTCAGCAGAGTTTGGTCCCTGGGAACTTGCCACATTGGATTATAGTGTCTGTGGACCAGTTTCTTTTCCAAGTTGTGATCCCACTGGGAAACTGGTCAGGGCTGCAGCTCTACCACTCACTGTGTGCTCTGGGCAAATGGCCTAATCTTCCACTATGGTGATATATTGTGTACCCTAATAAAATTTGCCTGAAGATCAGAGAACAGAACAAGCCACTAGATTAAACATAGATGTCAGATAGTGGTGGCACACATCTTTAATCCTAGCACTTGCGAGGCAGAGATTCATCTGGATCTCTGAGTTCAAAGCTACCCTGGAATGAGATTGACTCAGTCTAGGAGAGAAAAAGAGCCAGGCAGTGGTGGCACACACCTTTAATTCCAACACTTGAGATTTCATGCCTTTGCTTGGGAAGCACACATACCTTTAATCCCAGTACTAAGAAGGAAGTGATGGCTGGGCGGAGAAAGGTATATTAGGCATGAGGAGACAGGAACTGAAGACTTTTCAGGCTGAGGTAAGTCGTGGCAGTGGCTTGTTCCTTTGTTTCTCTGATCTTCAGGCAAATTTTACTAGGGTACACAGTGTATCACCACATTCCATGCGATGTTTCGACTGCACTAAGTAGGGGTAACAGTTGTGTCTGTCACACAGTGTAGACATGAGGAGTTAGTGAGTTATTTAGAGATCTTTAGAGCATCCACTTCTTGCTGGCCATTTTCCAGGACTGGTGTAATGTTAGGACATTTGTAAATGTCAGGTGATGGTGATAAGCATCATCTGCCACACAGTGGCATGTTTGTGGATGTTTGTTGAACTTAAACATTTTTTAGTTCAAAAAATGTTGCAGAAAGCACTTTGAGTAATTGTTTTTAAATATTTGGATGGTGCAGGTCTAAATAAAACATCCAAAGATGGAGGTTTCATTTAAAAGAAACAAACCAGTAATGAGGGCCCAGGGCAGGATGTCGAGAAGGCAGGCTCTGCTCTTCATTCACTTGATGCTCTCTGTACGCTGACTTGCTCTTGACTCTAGAAACTGGATAGTTGTAGCTCTGAGGAAGATTGACAGGGTTGCTGCTTTCAGAGGGTGAGACAAGAAATAGAGAAATAGGCAAACCACCCACAGTGCATCACGGTCATTCAGGGAATTCAGATGGAATGGGGTGATGTTGAGTACCTGCAGGTCGGATTATATCTGGTTCTCCTGAGTTCTAGGTACAGAAAGAAGCCAGGCATTCAAAATGACCAAGAGCAGGGTAGGCCCTGGTGGAGACTTAGGCAAGAATGAGCTTGACACAGGGTGAGAATGAGAGGGACCACCTGACACAGTGCACCCAGGTGTGGGGAGGAGTTCTGGGTCCTGTAGGCCTCTGTGAGATTGCCTGCATGGACAGACTGTAGACTGGGAATTAGCAAGTGTCTGCCTGGATGTTTATAAGAACGGCACAGGCAGTAGGTAGGGCAGGAGTGGAGGCCCAGATCTCAAGAGTTGACAATAGACCTGCTTTAGCATTACAACATTCAAAACTTATTTGAGCAAGAGTCCACATGTTTGGGGGTTATTATTTTTTTTTTAAACATGACATTTTTGAAACTCGCAGTGGATGGAGAACTCCAGTCTGGCTCTTGAGTGTTGTAGAGTGGGCCTGGTAGAGAAGGAATCCTCTTCAGCCCCTCTCATCTCTCTGGTTCCTTATTTCCTCCTCTTTCTTATATCCTTCCCCTTTGGTCAAGTGGAAAAAGATGTCTGATCATGCCCTCGAACTTTGTCGGAGTGAGACCTGCTGTTGGGGGACCTGCTAACAAGCAGAAATAACCGGAGACTTATCAGAAAATGCCAGGCCTCAGACAGTCCTCATTTCCAAGGCCAGGGTTGCCCTGGCTGGTGCTTTAATCCCCAAGCAGGATTTGTTTTTAGTTTCAGACTTGGTCACAGGTCCAGAAAATTGAATGTAGGCCCCGGGGCTGGAGGAAGTAGGCAGAATGCTAATTTGCACTCCTTCCTAGACGACTCCAGAGCCATGCATAATACAAATACTCTTCTAAGGGTTTTCTGAGCTAAATGTATTTTGACTGCTTTCGGCCCTCCTGCAATCAGATAAAATTGCATCTAACCCAGCTAAACATCGAGTTTCACACTTTGCAAGCTTAAAAAGTCTGCCTGTTAGAAGTTAGATTTCCGTAACAAGAAAAAAGACTTTCCCCCAGCCAGACACACATCATCCATATCCATTCGGCTCTAGGAGCTAAGTGCGTTGCTCACTGCCACCATCTCCGCCAGTTTCCAGACAGCAGAGATGGGAAGCCTAACTAGGAGTCAAGGAAAGAGACAAATAATGCAGATAAAGTGGCCGGCGGCGGCGGCAGCAGCGGCGGCGGCAGCCGGCCTGCAGTGCGGTCGGGGCTGTGATGGGCATTGTGCTACCCAGAAGAGCTGTCATGTTCACCACGGTCGGATGGGGGAGATTATGTCCATCAGAGTGGTGCAGGAAAAAAACAAGTTGTGACATGGTCTGCCCCCAGATGTTTTATGTTTCTCTTCCCATGCACAGATTTTTCAGTTTATTAAAGGAAACACTTTAATGTTCTTGTTGGCTATGAGACTTGAGAGCAAGATTGTGTGTCTCTTGACAGAATGGGGAAGGCAGCTCTTTTTGTGCCTGCACCAGCTCCCCTCTAGTGGGCTCCCTTCCTATTCCTTCTTCCAGGGCACAGGGGAGAGCTTAGAAAGCTCCACTCACTTGTGTTGGGTGTGCAGACAGGTCAGTCATTGCAGATTTTCACCATGTCCACACGTTGCCGGAGTCTCACCCCGAAGGTACAAAGAGGCCTTACTTGGCACCTGTCCCTCTTGTCATTGCTGCCATCCGTAGGCTTTGTTGAACTAGCTCTGTAGAGAGCAGGGGACGGTGGACGGTGGGAGGAGACGGACGGACAGACAACGGACGGACAGGGGCAGTGTTTCTTGACAGGGTTTCTCTGTGTAGCCTGGCTGTCCTAGAACTCACTCTGTAGACCAGGCTGGTCTTGAACTCACAGAAATCCACCTGCCTTTGCCTCTTGAATGCTGGGATTAAAGATGTGTGCCGCTAGCCGGGCGGTGGTGGCGCACGCCTTTAATCCCAGCACTCGGGAGGCAGAGGCCGGTGGATCTCTGTGAGTTCGAGGCCAGCCTGGGCTACCAAGTGAGTTCCAGGAAAGGCGCAAAGCTACACAGAGAAACCCTGTCTCGAAAAACCAAAAAAAAAAACAAAACAAAAAAAAAAGATGTGTGCCGCCACCACCCGGCAAGCGCCAACTTTCTACACAAAGGCTCAGAAAGAGTTGGTGACATGTGCTCACTGTTTTCACCTTCCTTCTCACTGCCTTTCTGTTCTCACCAAAGGAATAGAGTTGGTCACTTCTGCCACCAGCTTTGTGACTCTGACCAGGCTACCTGATCTCTCTGAGCCTTTATTGTGTGCTCTGTGAGAGTTGTGAGCCTTATGCCTGGGTAGATGGAATACTGTCTGTGAGCCCATCATGGTGCACACAGTGAGTGTGCATACGTTTGTTTATTTTGATGAGGTAAGGTTTCTCAGGCATCTGCTATGTGCAGAGTTGTTCAAGACCTAGAAGTGTGCCAGGGTGCATGAGGTGAGGGACTTGCTGTCAAAGAACTTGGTTTTTTCTTTGCCGGTGGGGTGACTGGTGGATGATTAGGCAGGGAATGGGTGTAGAGCTAGATGCAAATTTGCCCCTGGAAATTTTGAGTCGTTCCTTCAACCAAGAGTAGTACCCCACATTTTCCTGTGATTGCTACAGAATGCCTCTTTATCTTTATTTCCTACATGAGGCAGGCAAGGCATTGGGAAGGGGGATAACTGTATATAGCAGGCATGCAACAGGCATGTCTTCCTGGGTGCCTGATTACAACTATCTTAGCTGAACAGTCACTTCTCAAGGAGAGAAAAGTAGGTCCTTCCTTCCTTCCTTCTTTCCTGCGTGCCCTGGGGTTACCCACAGGTAGTCACCCGGAACCCATGTTATGCAGATGGTCATATAAGGAAACCTGGCTTTGGCTGTCACTCCTTAGCAGCTGTGTGCTATTGGCTGTGTGATGTAGCTACTGTGGGTTTCCTACCTACCTGAAAAGGTGTGAATCAGGTAAGAGACACAATAGTTTAGGTATTACATGTAGTCTAGACATAAGACATTTGGTCATGTTACTATTACCTTTTTTAAGAGGGAACTAGAAATTCTTCAGAACTAATGATTTTGTAAAAGCTTAGCATGTAAAGTTAGAATGTTAGAGTTGACCACAGAATTTTGACGTCAGCCAAGATGTAAATAGCATCCCCTCCTACCCCAGAGCTCCAGTGGTCTAAAAGCATGCTTTGCCCAAATGCCTCACGCACTGTTTACACCATGTGTGGCTCCCACTGAGGCAGAGAGAGATTGGGGGAGGTGGAGTGGGAGAATGACCCTGAGAACTTGTGTTCACCAGCTTTGTCACCTTGAGTTTTCCTTTGCGTCCTTCAGTTCTGGTTTGCCCACCGTGAGTTAGGATAACAGTGTTGCCCCTTCCTTGCACAGGGTGCCTGGAAGAGAACACTGCAAACTGCCAGTTCTGCACAAGTTTGTTCATTCAAATCAGAGCTGGGACTGTGGGAACGGGAACATGTGGGGACTGGTTTGTGATGCATCCTTCTCTCCCTTTGCTTCTCTGTTCCTGCAGGTGGACGGGCAGGTGGTAGCGCTCTTGGTACAGAATCTGGAGCGTCTGGATGAGTCCGTGAGAGAGGAGGCTGATGGCGTCCACAACACCCTAGGTGAGGAGCAGGCGCCTAAGCTGGGGCATGCTGTTTGCTTCCCTTTTCTGTAAGCCTCAACAACCAAGTGCTTTTTGTTTTTCCTCCCTTGTGCTCCCAAACTACCCTTTCAGAAGTGAAGACCCATGTGCTCATTTCATCTAGCTACAGCTTTGGTTTATCATTAGGCAACCAAAGCTGAAATCCATTAAGGGGGTATCCTTCCAAGAGAAAACGTGCTGGCTCCTAAACTTTATTCCAAGATTCGACTCTGTTTTAATTATGTATGTATGTTGGGGAGTATTTGCACATCCTTGTACAAGGTAGCCTGAAGATCCTTCTTCGATCCCTGTGCTGGAGTTAGAAGAGGTTGTGAGCCATCTGATGTGGGTGCTGGGAACCAAACCCAGATCTTCTGCAAGAGTAATATGAGCTCTTAACCACTGAAGCATCTCTCCATCGAAGCCTTTGCCTCCACAAGTTAAGATGAAATCTTTGCAGGGCCCCACTCTTGCCCCAGGAAGCCTAGGTTTCAGATTTGCTAGTGATTTTGTGTTGGCTTCTCTTCTCACCTTTCTTCAGTGGAGCTGCAGTGTCTGTGGACTGTGGTCATTACAGGAAAGGCCTTTGTTCTGAGAAGAATCAGTGTTTCCTTGTCTTTTTCAGCCAGACCGCTTTGTTAAGTGAGTTCAAGTACTGCCCCTGTGTCCTGTTCACTTGAATGGATTCCTCCACAGTTCCTCCCCCCCCCCAAATCTTTCCAGTCTCCCCCTTTGCAGAGCTGCCGCGCTGGCGGCCTATGTAGAATTATGCCTTTGAGCAGGCCGCTTGCTCACTGGCCACTGTTGCTCAAAACCAGCTGTGGCAGCTCTGCCAGCAGAGCTCCAGAGATGAAGGAGGCCGAGTAGAAGCAGGACTTTCGATGAGATTGGTTTCCCTCCTGGCTCCTCTGTGTTTACTGCAGATTTCCCTTGTAGTTCGAGACTCTTCAGTGTGGATTATTGTAAAGAAGAGGGAAGATGGGCACCCAGGGAGTAAGAGAGGCGAACGCAACAGCCCGTGGTTGGGGGCTGGCTCGAGTGTAGAGGCAGAATTTGGCATTGCCATCTGTTAGCCTGATGCTGGATTTTGCAACATTGAAAGCTTATCAAAAGTCTTAACTGGCTTAAAAGGGCCTGGGGTGATGGGAAAAGCACCGGTCTGAAAGATCTGTCTGCTTTCTGCTTAGGCACCCACCACAGTCCTCATCCTCATCCCTGCCTCCCGTCCCGCCTTGGGTGCCCAGTGTCTGTCAGGCATGGTGCTGGGAGCTAGGACAGATCAGGATGAGTTAGGCATGGCTAATGCAAGTCTAGATCAGAGAGGAAAGCGTGCTGGTGACAAAATCTATAATTAGAGCCGGTGAAAAGCATTGTGGGAGCTGAGAGGAAGGACTTCAAGTTGTTGCAAGGGAGCTGACTGGGGTTGAATGAGGAGTTAGGTGCTCTTTGCCAGTGGAGGATGAGTGGTGCTGTCTCAGGCCAGGAGTATCTTTTGCTAAGTTGAGACTGCTTTTGGAAAATGAGAGCAGGATGTGGGCTTGTGGCATTTGGCTGGAAGAGTAAGTCTGTCCAGATTTGGAAGAGTCTGTGAACCAAAGCAGAAAGTGTGGCTTTGTTTCTGGTGGGCAGCAGGAGGCTGTGTAAAGTATAAGCAGAACAAGATAAAACCAGTGAGTTGATTGAGAATGTTTCATCTCTTGGGTCCTTGTGCCACTCACTCCCACAGCGTTGTGTCCCCTCCCTCGGGAACGCCCCTGTTCCTCACTGGCCCTTGAGCCTGACTTAGGTGAAGGAGCAAGGCCTGAGAGTGGTTTCTTTAGCTCTTTCTCCTCAGAATTCAGACCCAGCATGTTCTGGCCCTTGTGTGTAGGGGACACAGAACAGTCTCTGCCTTGTGAGAGTGACCTGTTCTAAGATAGGAAGCCGAGGGGCCCTGAGGGGAAGGAAAGCTTTTGATGTGGTAAGGACAATGGTAATTTTTAAGTGCCCTTCTTCTTGATGTCATATCATGTAATAGCTTTTTCCCTTTGCCTCCTAATTTTTAATTTTCCTATTAAGTCACACTTTGACTGTTGTAGAAGATACAGGACCAATTATTTGCTTCCAGGTACCTAGCAGCTACCTCTGCCGGCATGGCCTTTCCCCTTCCCACACATTATTTTGTTCAATTAAGAAGATCATGCTCGCCGCCCTGGCAGTGTCCTGGTCTCCACATGATTGAGAGAGAGAGAGAGAGAGAACTCGGATGGAGAAGTTGGAAAAGGCAGAGACTGCCTTGCCCCAGGGCCTTCTGCCCTGTCCATGACTAGCTGCGGACCTCTGGGACTAAGTAGGCCTTGCAAGGCAGCTTCATGCTCTGCTCTAGAGTTGCCTCTATGAGCATAAAAACCTGTCCCTTATCCCTTCTGTGAATTCCTTCATTTTCAGTTATGACTTTTACTTGTAACATAACTTGAAGAAAGAAGAAAAAACCCTAGCAACTCCCTGGTTAGTCTAAAAGTGACAACAGCATCTGGCTGGGAGGACTACGGCAAGTGGGAAGAAGAATACAGTGCCTGTCAGGGGGAGCAAGCTTGCCGCAGGTGGAAGCAGAGATGCCCTCCCCAGTGACTGGCGTCTGTCTCTTTCAGCTATCGTGGAAAACATGGCCGAGTTCCGTCCGGAGATGTGCACAGAGGCTGCCCAGCAGGGACTCCTGCAGTGGCTGTTGAAGAGGCTGAAGGTAAGGGGGGCAGTGGCCCTGCCACTCACGTCTCGGCTCTGGGTGTGGCTGGGGCCAGGGTGTTGATGGAGATTGTCAGCCCCTGGCCATATGGTCTAGTTTGGGAAGCTTCTGGTACTTCTTGCCCTCTTGTTAGTTACTTATCTTCCTCTCCCCTACTTTTTAAAAGATCTTTTTGAGTTCCACTCCTTAAAACTATCTATTGTTAACAATATTATTTATCATTCTTTCAGAAAATTTCTGTACATATGTAGGAGACAGTGTTGTTTGTGTGTGATATTAAAAGAATTATATAATGTTTCCTGATCCAGATTGTTTTTTCACTGAACTAAATAATGATTGCCTAGAGTTCTGTTGGACACATATACCGAAATTATTATTATTTTTTGAGATAGCGATTCATGAAGCCCAGGCTGGCCTGTAACCCAGGAGACCTTGAATTTCTGATCTTGTGTCTACTTTCCAAGTGCGGGATTCTAGGTGTGTGCCACCCTGCCCAATCTGCAGTGGTGGGGATTGAGTCCAGGGCCTTGTGCATGCTCAGCAGCATCCCATCAACTGAGCTTCATCCCATCCCTAGCTCTCAGTTGTAATTTAACTACTTCTATTTCCAACTTTTGCCTGTTGGAAGCAGTTTGCAGTGAGTATCACATCCAAACACTATTCTGATGCACTTATCTCAGCTTATCTGCATGATAAACCTTGGAAGTGAAATGATCAGGCCAAAGGGTATTTGCATCAGCATCTGAGGTAGGTGTTGCAAAGTTGTCACCTGCCAAGATTGTCCCACTGATGTGAGAAGGTTTCTTGCTGTTCCCTTACAACACCAGGCATTATTAAACTTAAGGTTTTCTTTTTACACTTACAAGTGAAAACTGATGCTATGGTATTTTAATTTAGATTTTAAAATCAAAGAACATATATTGGCTTCTGGCTGTTTAATAGCCATTCATGGGTTTGGGGAAATAGTTCAGTGGGTAGTGTGTCCGTATATGCCTATAATCTCAACACATAGGAGGTGGGAGAAGAAGGATCAGAAGTTCAAAGTCCTCCTCTACCTCCATAGCAAGTTGCAGGCCAGCGTGGGCTATATGAGCTTGTCTCAAACCAACAATAATATAGCTATTCCTATACATTTTTAAGCTTCATATTCGTATCCTTTGTTCCCATGTCTATTGGGCTCATTTTCTTTCTTGGCATGGTGTCACCATCTTTTTAACCCTGAGTGCTATCCCATAGAGTGTATGAGAAAAGGAGGGCAAAGCCATTAGCGTGACCAACTGTGTAACAGGAGGCAGTGGCCGGCCTGTGTGTTACTGCCGTGGTCCTCAGCTGACAAGGTAACAAGGAACGCTTTAAGGAGGAGTGATTCTTGAAGTGGTCATGGCTTGTCCTGAAAGTCTGGGATGTATCAGGTCAGGCTCATCCCTTTGTCTTGGCAGGCCTGAGGGTCAGGTTCTCCCTGACAGTCTAGGTCTTCTCCAGCCCTACTCACATAACCATTGGTTCCCATTAACCAGCAACGTAGACACGCATACACCTATCAGAGGATACTAAGCCCACCTGGTACTGTGTGGAGACAGGCGCATTTGCCAGGCAGGGCCCAATGCACTGAGCCCCCGCAAGCCCTCCCCTCCTACCACTTAGGCCTGTATCCAGCAGGTAGCTAATTCAACACTGCCATCTTTGCATCTTCCTTTGGACTTCTGAGTCTGGATGTTGGCTTTAAACCGTACACAATCTGCAGACAGTTCCTTTCCCACCTCCTGCCTCAGTATCCAGTATGTGTTCCCATCCTCAAGGCCTTTGAAACACTTTGGGAATGAGTGGTGGAGGAGAGGAGAGTCATAGCTGATGGGACGGGACGGGACGGGACGGGACGGGATGGATAGTAGGACCCTGGGTTGCTGATGGAATTTGTGGTTCCAACCTGAAAACACATAAAATAATAGTTTTTCTCTCTGTGAAGTCAGGACAAGTTTTTTTTCAGTTCCTTGGGACTTAATAATGAATTTAAGGATCATTCTTTAAAATTTCTCTATCGGAAGGAGGGAGGACAGGGGAATCTGTGGTTGGTATGTAAAATGAATAGAAAATCCCTTAATAATAAAAATAAATAAAAGTCTGTCCTTTGAAGTGTATTCAAATGTGCCATAACACCCTTCTTTCACTTGCTCTTCTCACTCTGTCTCTGTTTCTCTGTCTCTGTCTCTCTGCCTCTGTCTCTCTGCTTCTGTCTCTCTCTGTCTCTCTGCCTCTGTCTCTCTGCCTGTTTCTCTGTCTCTGTCTCTCTGCCTCTGTCTCTGTCTCTCTGTCTGTTTCTCTGTCTCTGTTTGGCTCTTGCTCATTCTTTCTTTTTTTGGAACTGGTTATATAGGGAGAGAAATTGAGAACTTTGGGTGTTTAGTCTGAACTCCATTTGCTATTTTAGCAAGCTATTATTGAGTTTTGCCTTAGGGCACAGAAATTTGTATAATCCCCTGGACAGGAATAGCCTCATTGCTATCTAAAACCATGTCCCGAGGTTTCCGGTATTTAAACAGGGAATCGCTATTTGGTTGTTTTACTGGGAAGCAAGTCCCCTTAGAAAAACCCAGTGCTGGGTGGAACGTTTGGAACATTCACAGAAGCAAGCCAGGCTGAAGGGTGAGGCCAGCAAGAAGCCATGACTTCTGAAGAGGCTTCGTTCTGGTGCCCCAGCCTAAGAGAGTGCATGTTGTATTCTTCACCAGCGTCAGCCTGGGAAACAGCCCTAGGTGGGTTCGACCCAGAGCCTGTCCTCCCCTGGGAGCTTGTGGCCACAGCCAGTCCTTCACTTGTCTAACTTGTTTTCTTTAGAAAACACAGATTCTCTTTCCCACCACTGAGGTCCCATGAGGTGACTGACGACTAATATGAGAGGGCTTTTCAGTTGTGACCATCCAGGCAGCCAGGGCTTTCAGCAGGGGTTGTGTTGAGATCACTAGTGCAATTTTCAAAACCAAGACTACTGTCCTAGTCAGGGTTTCTGTTGCTATGATGAAACACCATGACCAAAAGCAAGGTGGGGAGGAAAGGGTTAATTTAGATTATACTTCCACATTGTAGTCCAGTCATTGAAGGAAGTCAGGTTAGGACTCAAAACGGCAGGAACCCGGAGGCAGGAGCTGATGACAAGCTTGCTCTTCATGGCTTGCTCAGTCTGCTTTCTTATAGAACCCAGGACTACTAGCCCAGGGGTGGCCCCACCCACAGTGGGCTGGGCCCTCCCCACCAGTCACCAATGAAGACACCACCCTACAGACTTGCTTATAGCCTGCTGTTATGGAGGCTATTTCTCACCCAAGGCTCCCTCCTCTCAGATGACTCTACCTTGTATCAACCTGACACAGAGCTAGCCAGCACATGTACCATCTCAGGTTCTACTGTTAGTATATTCTAGAAACGTTCCTTGTGTAGTCTTAGTGTATATCCCTCCCTAAGATCTACTGGGCTCTAGAAGGGAAACCTCTTTTCCATCCTTATCCTATAGACTGATACAGTGGGAAAGCTACTTCATTTTCAGTGGCTATCCATCGACCTGCCGTGATGGACACACCTCTGCTTCAGAGCCCACCTTCCTGCCTGCTGTAAGGCCCCTTCTGGCTTAGTCTGGTCTTTTCATTCCTCAGTTCTGAAACTTTAGCCTTGTTACCTGTTGCATAGTTCCTTTGCTTAGCCTCTGTACTACAAAAATAAAAATGTCAGGCCTCTGTTTTGCTTATGTCCCTGTCTCTACCAGATACAGTACCTTTTTTCTTCTGTATTTTTAAATGTACAGAACCACTGTGAGACAGCTTGAGTCCCTCCTCTTCCAGAGCCTGCATTGTTCTTAGACTTGAAAGGAAGTGCGTAAGTTGTATTGTGGTTCAGTAACTAAAAGTCCAGACCTACAGATGATAACTAAGTGCCTTGCCCAAATCCACCTGGGTAGAGCTGGAGTGGGCACTTAACCCACACCTCCAGAAGTGTGTTCTCATGGGCCTTCCCATGAGACTGCTTTGCCTCCAGCCCATCTGCCATTCTGGTTCCTGAAAATCAGCCCCTTCAGGTTCTTCCTAATGGATTTCTCCTGGTTAGCAGGTCTGGATTCCAGTGTCCAACCACACTTGTGCCACACACTGGGACACCTTTTCTTCACCCGGAAAGTAAAGGTGATCTCATCACCCAGCTGACCTCCTTACCCAGGATATCCTGAGTGGAAGACCCAGGCCTGGCTCGCTCTCTCTTGCATCTCCCCCAGTCTTGTCTTTTGTGGTTCCTTACAGAGTCTTAGATCCTCCCAGCTGTACTTAATCTTCAAAACTAGGGTTGAGCCTCGTGTTTTAGCAAGCCCTCATGGTGAGTGATGGGAGGGAAAGTCTCAGAGCTGAAATTCTGGAATCCTTATGTGTCTAGCTTGTTGGATTAAACCCTCCATTTTGACTGACGATCCATACTTATTTAGGGATCCTTCAGCAATTCTCAGTGAGGGGCCAGTGGGTGGCAGGCACGTTAGATGCAGATCGTGCTGCTTCATGCTGGTAGCCTAGCAGCATGTGGCAATAGTCATGGGTTTTTTTTCATCCACCAAATGAAACCTCTGGAATTTGTCCTAAGGAGGATAAGACCCATTGCCGAGAATGGTATTAGATGGATTAGCAAGTGAACAGATAAGTGTCTCTGTCAGGAGAGACACTACATCAGTTTTTTACATGGGCACTGCAAATGTTAGGATGCCGTGTACTGTTGAAAATCCCACTAAAACCGGAAGTTTTCTAAAGAATGAAATTAGGATTCCCACTGAGTTTCCAGTTAAATCAACATTCTGGGAACCATTGCCACATTCAGCACGAGCTAATCAATTCACAACTGGTCAAGTTAAGCGGCCGGTATGGCTGGCTGATGCAGACTCCTCGGGCCCGGGTGACTGGAGGTTGCTTTGGCAGTTGTAAGGGACCGGCAATGTGTCTGACCCCTACCCCCACCTGTGTTCAGGTGAACTGCAGACATAACCTCCAGCCTCTAGCCGTGGGTGGGAGCATAATTGTTTTCTACTTTCCAAAAAAGCAGCAGCTCCCAAGAAGAAGTTTAATTTTATTCAAGGCTAGTCCATGTTGAGTACACACCTATGCTTGACACTGCAATTACTCTGACAGCTGGAAGATTTAGGATCACCATCCTTCTGGATGGAAGAACCCTGCAAGCTCCAAGTCCCCCTGGTTTACATTGTAATATCCAAGAGATGGTAGCTGCCCAGTGAACTCTCCTCCTTCCTCATTCTGATGAAATGTCTTTGTTATTTGGCAGTTTATATTGTGGAATCTCTGGCTGAGATTCAGTAGAAGTCATTTCCTTGATACATTTTCTCTTTGGCTAGACACAAAGGGTTAGTCTTCTTCATTCCCACCTGCCCAGCTTCAGGTGTCCATGCCTCCATAGTCTCTGCGTTTTCCCCAGCAGACACTGACTTTCGTGTATTAACTGCCCGCCACATGTGAAATGATCTTCTAGATTCGTGCATGTGTATTTCTAAGCCACATAAACGGCTCTGCCGAAAGCATTCAGCTGTCCCCAGTTTTCAGATGAGGAGAGAGCCTCACATTCCGATTCCAGTCCAGGAGCCTCAGTCCACACTGTGCCTTAGGTGCTTTCCTATTACTCTGCATGATTCAGTAGTAACCCTCCAAAGAAGGGCTAGTTTTAAAAAGAATGTATTGCCTATGATTGTTTATTTATTCAGTGTATGCATGTGTGTACCACGGTCTGCATGTAAAGGTCGGGGACAGCTTACTGGAGTCATTTCTCTCCCTCCATCATGTGGGTCCAGGGGTCAAAGTCAGGTTGTCAGGCTTCATGGCAAGTGCCCCTTGCCTAACTGCCCTACCAGAAGTACTGTTTTAATCTCCATTTTACAGATGGAGAAACAGACAAAGAACTTTATTTGGGTCATAGATCTTGTTACTGGCTCTTGGTGTTTTTGTTTTCTCAGTAATTTTGTTTTTACCATGATGATTTATTAGGTAGTTAGATACAGAGGGCTAGCTCTGTGTGTGTGTGTGTGTGTGTGTGTGTGTGTGTGTGTGTGTGTGTGTGTGTGTGTGAATCCTAGCAATTCAGTAGCTATTTGAAGGGGAAACACCTATACATTAGAAGAAAGCATCATTGATTTCATCTTAAATGCTCCAGTCACTACTAATGGAGTGTCCCTCCTCATCTACTCCTCACTGATTTTCATGTAGCAGCTACCAAACCCCGCTTCACAAAGGTGTGATGTCTTAGAAGAAAGGGACCTTGAGCTGGAGTGTGCCGCGTTCCACAGCTGTCAGGTGTCACCAGCTTTTCCCTGAAAATCTCAACATAGCCCGTGGGGAATTCAGTCCACCACCCCAGTTACTTCAGTCAATCTGGAAACACCAGACCTTGGGACACATAGGTCGTGGCAAGTTCTGTAGTGTGACAGGGTTCAGCTTTAATTCACCTGTTGGCTGTGATGCTTCATCTATCTCACATATAGCAAGTGCCCACTAATTGTTATTGGAAGGAGAGAAAGGCCCCCTCCTAACTTTGAGGCAGAAGTTTATGAAATCCACTAAAGGACAAGAGGCATGGAACCCAGAAAGACCATTGATATGGTGGCCTGGTGTCACCGGCCCTCCCTTCATTTAAGAGTGTCCTGTTTCAAAATACCTTGGCTTTTGAAAAGCTGCATGTAAGTTGATGTGACTAAAATTATTTAAAACCTAATCGCAACACTGGAAGCTTAAGTCATTTGAATAAGTGATTTTATTTTTTTAAAGAAGCCTTGATTCTGACAGAGACGCCCACTGCTCTCTACCCCATGTTTTGAGTTTATAAAAGCATCTTTCTTCAGGTGAGTGATACCGTGGACTGACTGTCCTTAAGCTCTGGCTGTTAGACAGATTTCCTGAAATAAGGCCTCCAGCTTGCCGGGGACCATCCAGTGCAGCCAGCATGTGTACGACCTTGCCCTTACAGATCTTTTAACCCGAGATGGGTCAGAGGTGGCCATCCTCCCGAAACCCTGTGGGGTGCACTTTGGCTTATGAGGAGGACGTGCACAGAAAACGGAAGCGGCGCTGGCTGTTGCGTGGTCAGACCCACCGTTCTTCCTCCTTAAGTACAAAATCAGTGTCCAAACAGATCTGGGAATGGCTTGAGGTGAGGATAGAAGGCCTAGCTTCAGTGTGGACACTTGCCCTGTCCTCCGCAGCTACAGAAATTATTTGTCATTTCAAAACCTTGAATACAAAGCAGGGATTGTGCTGATTAAAGTCATTCTCTGTGTGCCTGCATCTCAAGGAACTGGCTCCCACAGATAAAAACGCCAGTGAGGCTTGCTTGCACCACTATCCACGGGTGCCATAGATGGTGCCATGTTGAAGTCTTGCAGTTGAAGTAACTGGACAGCCATGAACGATGGTCTCTGCAGTGGACGTGTCCCCTCTGAGTCTTCAAGCTGCAGAGCACACAGCAGGGGAAGAATTGTGGGTAGTAATTTAGGTATTAAAATATTAACACATTTTTGCATATTTAATGTGGTTTCCTTTTTAAATAGTAGGCAGATTATGGCCTACAAGCAGATAGGTTTATGGTTTTAAATTAAATATTAAACATTGAAAAAAATTCCAAAAGGAGCTACTTGGTTATAAATATTTTTAGCTAATCTGAACAAGAGCTTGCTTTCTTTTCAACTTCTCTGATTATGCATCAGCTAATTTACAACCTCATTTTGTGGTTGTAACTTGTAATTTGGAGTTTCATGTGTTTTAATCTTATAAGTTCAAAACTTTCTCTTATTTGCCTTGGGCACACACAGTATTTGGACTTAAAATGTGGGCACAAGGTAGGCTCCGTGGAGGAGGGTGCATTCAACACACTGGGTAGGGCTACCGTGACCGTCCTCCACTTACTGTGGAATACCTGCGTCTAGTCTCTGAACTAAGTGATGTTCTCCCTTAACCTGCCTTTCCTTTAACTTCCTCGTCTCTGTGGGTGGACAGTTTGCCCAGAAAGGGATCGAGATGCCTTAATGGCTTTCTTATATCTGTTTCCTACAGGCCAAGATGCCCTTCGATGCCAACAAGCTGTACTGCAGTGAAGTGCTGGCCATCCTGCTCCAGGACAATGATGGTGAGCTCCCGCCTGTAGAGACAGGGCCAGGCTGGGAGCCACACTCAGATCCTCATAGCCGGTGAACTTGCCTTTGGCATCGCCGGGATCCTCCGCTCACTCTCTGCAGCTTTTGTGCGCTGTCGAGCTGTATTGATTTTGTTTGCTGATGGATCAGTGGTAGACGGCTGTAAAATCTGACAGTTGGCTTCATTTTGTTTTTTTCCTCTATTTTCCTCCTTTTAGAAAACAGGGAGTTGCTGGGGGAGCTGGATGGGATCGATGTGCTTCTTCAGCAGTTATCCGTGAGTAATCTTTCTGCTTCCTGTGAGCCATGAAGGTCCATGGCCTGCCGTAAGTGGGTGGAGCTGGAAAACATGAGAAGGAACAGCCACGGGGTGCACCAAAGCAGGCTGGAGGTCACCCTGGTGGCACACTGTTTGCCTCCTTTTCTTAGTCACTGGTTCTTTCTGACTAAGTGTCACTGTGAACCTGGTGAGTCCTTTCCTGACTGTCAGCCCAGAGGCAGCGAGCTTTCCTCTGTGTCCTTAGGCCAGAAAGAGCCAGCTACGCTCATTCGCCTGACCCCGACGTTGTTCCGTTCCTTCCTGTTGGTCCACCCCTAAAGGAGTCTGCTCATTCAGGCTCCAGATGAGCTCAGGGAGAGCCACTTCCGGCACAGCGGGCTTAAGGTCATGGGGACAGTAGGGACGGTTGTGGTACTGCAGGCAGGAGTGAGAAATTAGAAACTGCCATTTGCTTGATGGAAGAAATGTAAGTCCAGTTGAAACGCCAGCCTGCTGCCGTTGTGGAAATGCCGCCAAGATTTCTTCTAACAAACCTCATCGGTGTTATTCCAAAACAGCACTGGAAATAGATCATTTGGATACAGGCTGGAGAGTGTTGAGTGTCTGGGATGGCAGTTTGCACACAGCTTCCCTGTGGTGCCAGCCTAAAGTGACTCGGCCTCTACCCCAAAAATGGGGCTTTGTGGTGTGAAGCTGTTTCCCGTCCCCATGAGATGCAATCACTGATCCTGTGGGGCTGCCTACAGGGCTCAGAGGCGCTCTCCCAGCCTTTGCTCAGCTCTAGTATGCAGAACCGCACAGATCCCTTCCTGAGACTTTGAGCCCCTACTACTGAATGGGGGGGTTCAGCAGTCCCGTTGAGAAGCAGCACCTCTTCACATGCGATAGGATTGGCTCCTCTGGGTTTTGGCACATTAGAAGGAGAAGAGAGCTGGTGGGGTTGAACTGCAGGAGCAAGGGTGTAGGGGTCTCTGCCAGAGTTGGTTTTGGACCTGAACTGTGGTTTCAGAGGTGTCCCCTTTCTGTTTCACTGTGTCTGTCCCTTATGGACTTGTCTGTTTCTGTCATAGTTCGCAGTGGAAGAGGGTTGAGGGGTGCTGTTTTGTTTAGTTGATCTGCCCCCTTGAAGCTGTCAGTCACTCATGGACCCAGTGCTTGGCTAAGTGTTTAGTGTGTTTATATGAACTGGTATGTATGTGTTTAGTGCCCACAGGTCAGAAAACTGTTTCTTTAAACTGGAACCTGGCAAGAGCTTCCTTGGAGAGTTCTGTTTCCTTGGTGGGGTATTCATGACAGTCAGGCTTTGGAAATTGTAGGACGGTGGCTAATGTTGAAACAGCATTCCTTGATGGCTCCTTTCTACTCTTGTTGTTTGGCAGGTGTTTAAAAGACACAACCCCAGCACAGCGGAGGAGCAGGAGATGATGGAGAACCTGTTTGACGCCCTCTGCTCCTGCCTAATGCTCAGCTCCAATCGTGAGCGTTTCCTGAAGGGCGAGGGCCTTCAGCTCATGAACCTCATGCTCAGGTATGCTTCTGGGGCTGCCTGTCAGCTTGCCCCCCTCCTCACTGGTGCCTCTCTCTTTGCCCCTCACTGCTAGTCTGGATTTAGGATGTGTAGCTGTGGTCCGTTAGTCACTTGAGTTTCCCATTAATCCAGAGCAATGTTTATTTGGGGATGTGTTCTAATGTGTCTGATCTTTTCTGAAATGAGGATTGGTGAACAAGGGTGTATATTGTTTGTAATGTATTGGTGGTAGTGTGGCCACTACCTTGAAGGGCCATGTCTTTGTTCTTTTGTTCTGTTGGTTTTGGGAAAATCTAAGTATTACCTTCTAAACCAGTGGTTCTCAATCTTCCTAATGCTGCCGCCCTTTAATACAGTTCCTCATGTTGTGGTGACCCCAACCATGCTACTTCATAGCTATAATTTTGCTACTGTAGGAATCATAATGTAAATATCTGATATGCAAAACTTAACTCAGTTTTCTCTGTAGCCTCCATAGACCTCTCTATCTATATTTCTGCTGTTGACAGCCAAGTATTTATTTGTATTCATTCAGTAATAAATTCTGCATGCTGTGAGCCTAAGCATAGGGAATATGAAAATGTAAGGATGGTTAGAACTTTGGGTTTAGTGCTTTCTTTAATGTGTCTTTTTATTTTTGTTCTAGTCTCTAAAGATGACACTGCTCCAGTGTCTCAATTCCTCCATGGAGTCTGAAAGTTGGAAACAAATGCTTTGTTTTGATGATTGTTATTGAGAAATGTGGTGAGGGAAATACTTGACCCTGGGAAGGAAAATAGAGTTTCTGAGGAGGTGACCAGAGTGGAGGACCTCTAAGGGACAGCTTTTGAAATTGAGAGGCACTGGATGGTGTTCTAATCTTTATGGAATTCATAGAACTGAGCCAGGGTCTGCCATCTTGAAACCTCTAGTCACGTGCAGTGACAACTCTGAGCAAAGCTATGTCCATGAAAATGTCTTACTAATTTGGCATGCATTTATTAAGTGTAATTGAAACTGCAGACATCCAGTCTGTTTCCTATTAGAATGTTATTAGGCACTGTGCTTGTTAAGTCTCAGGGAGGCTCCTCCTTCCAGAAGCTAAGATGCCCGCTCTGTGACCCGAGCATAGCCTGTCTTTGGGTGGACACTGTCTTCTAGGTTTGTTGTTGTTTTGTTTAAACATTTTAGTCCTGTCACATTCTAATGTTCCATATTGTTTCTTTTTTTCTTCATGAGAATGCATTGATTACTTGAGGGACACAGGGGACATCCTACATAGCATTCTTCTGTTGTTGACATTGCAGCCATTTCCAATGTTTCGTTATCATGACAAACTCCACAATGACCAGTTTTGTGTTTTAAATGATTTGGGGATTATCAATGTCCATATCTCTAAAATTCCTTTTCTTTGAAAGGTTTGTGGAGGGCTGAGGTATATGTGTCATCCAGTGTATCCTAGACCTTGGATTGATTGAAAATCTTTTGAGAAATTGCTTTTAAAAGCAAATTGTTTTTTAAAGTGCAGAGAGAATTATGGAAAGCTGTTCAGCGGCCTGTACTGTTGAGCTGATTCTGGCCTTCCTTTCTTAAGATTGTTTGTCTCTGACCCTTCGAATTGCCTGTCCTCTCTTGACGTGACCCCCGTCTCTCAAGCAACAGCACTCAAAGCATTGACTTTCTGGGTGTTCTAACGTTAAAGCTACACTCTACAGGGACTTCCCAAGCTTCTTACAGCCCTGAACTGCCAGTGTCTGTGGATGGTTGAGTGCCGACATGAAGTGATGAATTCCTGCGGCATATGGCTCCGTAATGTGTAGCAGTGGGGAGCTGAATAAATAACCAGAAACAGGGATTATTCAAACAGGAATGCTGAGGTTCTGGGAGGCTAATTAAAGAGCTCCAAAGGACTGGAGCCAGAGCCTGTACCTCTTGGATCTACCTCTCAGTTTTCAGTGCTGAAGTTGCTGTGACTCCATCTTTTGAATTAATTAGCGGTATTCACAGACTCAGCATTTCCTTTTGTCTCTTGTCCATGCTCTTTATTTCTCATTGTTTTTCTCCTTCAGACTTCCAAATGGAAAGTTTGTCTGGGAAGGAAAATTTTCCCTATTATATTTAAGTTGTCCTCTGTCTAGAGAAAGCCCATTCAAAACTAGGTTGCCGGAACACTAGAAGGGCGGGAAGCTTTCTGGGGGTCTGTTGCTCCCGAATATGAATTTTCACTTGATTCCATCAGTCTCTGGACTCCTGGAGAGGCCAGCTTGCACAGAAGGCAGTCCATGGGGTCGGGTGGGAGGATGGGCTTTGGAGTTGAGGTGATTATGGACTTGGAACACGGGCCTCTCATCTACAAGCTCTGGATATTTGCTGAGTTGCTTTAAATTTCCTGCCTCTGACCTTAGTTACTTATTTTTATGAAAAGTAAGGGAAATAGTGCTAAATTTTCAAGGATTTTGAGGGAACCTATTTTATAAAGTTGGGCCACTCAGACCTACTAACACATTGATGAGGTACTATGTTAATTGTATGTTAAGTGCTAGGCCTATATGGCAAACAAGGCAAGATTCCTGCCCTTAAGAAAGTTAGAAGCACCGGGCGGTGGTGGCGCACGCCTTTAATCCCAGCACTTGGGAGGCAGAGCCAGGCGGATCTCTGTGAGTTCAAGGCCAGCCTGGGCTACCAAGTGAGTTCCAGGAAAGGCGCAAAGCTACAAGAAACCCTGTCTCGGAAAAAAAAAAAAAAAAAAAAAAGAAAGAAAGTTAGAGGCATCTGGATGGTGGTGGCAGTGTGCACCTTTAATCCCAGCACTCTGGAGACAGAGGCAGGTGGATCTCTGTGAGTTTGAGGCCAGCCTGGTCTACAGAGTGAGTTCCTGGACAGCCAGGGCTACACAGAGAAACCTTGTCTCGGGGGGAGAGAGAGAGAGAGAGAGAGAGATTGAGAGATTAGTGAGAAAGGCAGACACTGAGTAATTACTATACCCAGTACAGTGACTATTAAGAGGAGCAGTTTTCCCATATATACTTAGGAAAGATTTTAAATTTCTGATTATAGATAAGCAAGGAGCACCAGTAAGGTAGTTATTTATGCATATGAGCAGGCACATGTGCTCATATGCACACACATGAACACACACACACACACACACACACTCACTCACACCCTCCTGCTCTAACCCAGACCCTTGTGTCTTCTGATAGCACCCTTGGTGTGTGTGATTGACCCTCACGATGGCAGCCTTCTGCCCATGTCACTTCTCCAGCCTGATCTTCCGCCCTCTTAACTACTGGATGTGGAACCCTTTGTTTGCTGTGCCAGACACTACTGGATGGCCAGCATGTTTATCTGAGTCCCCAGCTAGACTATAGGCTTTTTTAAAAAAAACTGTGTAGTCCTGGCAAGTCTGGACTCACAGAGATCTGCCTGCCTCTGCCTCCCTAGTTCTGGGATTTAAGGCTTTGCACCATCACACCCAGCTTGGATTGTGAGCTTCTGAGAGCAGGGACCCAATCTTCTCGTGTACAGCAGATGTACATTGGCTTTCAGTCCATCTTCTCTGCGTGAGCCAGAAAATCTGAAAATGTTCTTACTGTTTAGAACCACTGATGCAGAATTCCTAACAAATCCCTGCAGAGAGGCCGCAGAGAGGAGAGAAACTTGTTTAAAGACCCTGGAGTGAGCCGGGCGGTGGTGGCGCATGCCTTTAATCCCAGTACTCGGGAGGCAGAGCCAGGCGGATCTCTGTGAGTTCGAGGCCAGCCTGGGCTACCAAGTGAGTTCCAGGAAAAGGCGCAAAGCTACACAGAGAAACCCTGTCTCGAAAAACCAAAAAAAAAAAAAAAAAAAGACCCTGGAGTGAATACTCCACCTCTTACCTGAAGTGGTTAGCCCAGGATTTCCCTGCCACCTTTGTAGAAGATGAAGAGCACAAAACGGCCTGTGGGTATTTGTGATACTGATCCTCGAGGTTCAGGAAGACCAAGATGCGAGGCAGCTCCAGGCTCCGCCTGTGCCCATAAAGCCGGCACAGGTTCTGGCTTTGTCCTCTTTGGGCCTTGAACTCTCAGCTGTCCTCCCTCATCTCCCGAGTCCTCCTGGGCTGTGGTTTGGATGGCATTTCCTGCCTCCTTTCTGCTCCAGGTTCAAGGCAGCCTTCAGCAGATGTTGATGGGACTGAGCTCTCGCTCCACCCAGTTTTCACCTCTCGGGCCTTTGTCTTCTTCCCCCCACCACCCAGGTGAGTGGTCTGGTGCCTTTTGCTCATTCGTATGCTGTCTGGGTTTCACAGTACTTGACGGAATCAATGTGTATGTGTGTGTGTGTGGGGGGGGGTATTTTGTGTGTTTTGTGCTTCTCTTACTGCCAAAGAACAAATGAAGACGTTTTGGAAAAGAAGAAACAATTGTGGTCATATTGAGAGTGAGTCTCGTGTGATAGAAGCAGCAAGCAGCCATCCTATCCTATAGGAGCCACAGTGAAAGAAAGAAAAACCGCATTTCCCATGTGGTGCCATCGCTGATAGCTGAGCACAGAATGGGGTGGGCAAAGGGTACAGAGGCCCTGGGCAGTGCCCAGCATGACATTGACAGGGAGAGAGAAGTGGCTCTGATACACAGGTGTGCCATGCCTGGCCTCCGTCTTGGTCCAGAATTGAGAACAATGGCAGAGGATGTAGGATAGCCTTTGGTGAGCAGAGAGGGTGTGGGGTGGCCTTTGGTGAGCAGAGAGGGTATGGGGTGGCCTTTGGTGAGCAGAGAGGGTGTGGGGTGGCCTTTGGTGAGCAGAGAGGGTGTGGGGTGGCCTTTGGTGAACAGGAGAAGAATTGTGGTAGGAACATGAGCCAGCTGATAATTTTACAGAGATGGTTGAGTGAAAAAATTCAAAGCTGGGTGTGGTGGCGAATGCCTTTAACCAGCGCTTGAGAGGCAGAGACCCTGAGTTTGAGGCCAGCTTGGTTTATAGAGCGAGTTCTGGGATAGCCAGGGCTACGCAGAGAAACCCTGTCTCAAAATACTTTT